TGCCTTTCTGTAAAATCGAAATGAGACTAGAAATTCAACAATAAATAATTAGCATTTACTAAGCTCCTACTATGTGGCTGTCTTTGTGTATCAGAAAGGAGTACTTCCAACTTCCAGTAGTAGCAAATGTGACCCACAGTAACTTGAACAAATAAGACTGTTTTGTTCTTTTTTCTAATATAATGAGAGGTCCAGAGATAGGTGTTTGCTGGCATGGCTTCAGAGTCCAACAACAGTGTTTGTTGTCTTATGATCACAAGATGGCTGTTGTGGCTCCAGCCATTACATCCACATTCATGGCAGGAAGAGGTGGGAGGTTTGAAGAGCCACTCCAGCTGTGTATCTGTCTCTTTTTAATCAGGAAAAAAATGCTTTCTCAGAAATAATCTTCTGCTTAGATCTCATTGGCTAGACCTGTGTCACATGGTCATTGCCAGCTGTCTGAGTGTCTGGGAGAATGGGGAACAGAACTGTCCAGTGGACAGTCATTATCACTTGGGAACTTGTTAGAAATGCACATTCTCTGGCCCTTCCCCAGAAACTCAGGAGTGGGGCCCATGATCTGTCTTAACGGGCCTCCAGGGGATCCTGATGAACACACTGGATTTAGATCCGTTGTGACCCACCCTGGGGCGGGCCGCACTCCTCCCTAATGGACCTGCGGTTTCCTTACCGAGGAGGAGGGGAGAGTTGGGCTTGGCTGGGCAGAGAACCAGTTATTCAATGGGTCGTGTGTCATTTAATCATCCGTGTGACAACACTCAGGCAGGTGTCACTGCTCTCGTGTTTTGGGTGGGGTCGCTGGCACCCCCTGGCTTTGCCTTTAGCCAGCCTGTTTCTGCCTTCACAGTGGACGTATTGCAGTGTCACCCTTGGTGACCCTCTCTAAGCAGCTGCTTCTCTGAACAGACACTGCTTTTCAGGAATGCACCTTCCTGTCCCTGCCATCTCTGGCGGTGCTTGTGACTTCTTCAGGTGGGCCAGGTCAATGATCTCCAAACCTCCGGGTGACCAACCGTGTTGGTTTTCCCAGAACTGCAGGGTTTCCAGAGATGCAGAACCTTCAGTACTAAGACCAGGAAGTTTCTGGGCAAACCGGAACAAGATGTCACCCTAAGAAACCCACTGGTCAACCCTCTCACGTCCTCCCGCCACTGCCTCTGGCTGGAGGCCAACAGCCCCATGTGACAGTGCGATTTCTAGGCTCCACCTTTGGCTTGGCACTCGCATCGACTGAAACCACTTCTGCCTGCTTCTCAAGAAGTGTAAACCCTTCACTTATTCACAGTGTATTCATGGAGCTGGGGAGGGTATAGCTCAGTGGTAGAGCACATGCTTAGTATGCACTAGGTCCTGGGTTCGATCCCCAGTACCTCCATTAAAATGAATGAGTCAACAAATAAACCTAATTACCCACCCCCTAAACAATAAATAAAATATTTTTAAGTGTATTTCTGGAGGTGCTATTATGTAAGTTTCAGTATACCAGTCTCAGGGAGATGCCAAATAAATGGGAAATACAGGCCATATGCTCAGTCATTTAAATCCAGTCTAGTCCAATAAGCAAATAAACATTAAACAAGTGCCTATTTGCCCTGTACATTATGTTACACACCCCGCCTCCACCTATGAACACGTCTTTCTTTAAGGGATGTGGGTGAGTGAGATTATTTACAGCATTATAATGTTAATTATTAAAACAGTAATAGCTTTTGACATTTGCCAGGTTGCTCAGTAATTAATACCCCTCCCAGTTATGAGTCAAGACAAAAAAGGAGGCCAGTGGAGAACCAAGCCTTCCCTCTAGGAGAAATCGAGGTGGGGTTGAGGAGGGGGACTCAGGAGGGCAGCCGCCATGGGCTCCTGATTCCGAAGCCGAGTATTAGCCGGGCTCACCCACCTGTTCGGCAACAACTCAGGGTCTGCAGACCTTTCTGCAGGTGTCCGGCCCTGAAAAGCGTCTGGCAAGAAGGAGCAGAGGGAGAGCTTGCTCCCTGCAGACAGACAGACAAAGAGCTGGACAGGCAGAAGTACACCAGTGCACTTCCCTTTCCAGCCCGGCGCTCCCGCAGGTCACTTCACCTTTGGTGGAACAAGAAGCCAAGGATGTTCAGTGAAACCTCCGTCCTGCGAGAGCCCAGAGGAGTGGGAGGTTTACTCCTCGTCCCCGGCACAGACAACTCAGGCGTTCTCAGAGGTTCTCTTGTGCCCGGCACTATTCTCCACTCTTGCGGAAAGTAGGCAGAATTGCTCCCATTTTATAGGTGGGGTAAATTAGGCACATAGAAGCCAAGTGACTCATTTAAGGCCACTCAGACTGCGGCAGAGCTGGTTTATGGACCTAAGCCATCTGACTGCAGGCTGGATTCTCCTGATCCCTGGACAGCTGTCTGCGGGAGGTTCTGAGATCGCACTAAGGAGACAGTGATTGGTTGGGAGTGGGGAAAATCTTTGTAAGAGAGAGACGCATGTGAGCCATGTGTCCAAAGCCAGATAGGAGTTTTCCCCAAAATAAAGGGCATTGAAAGAACGGCTTTCCAGGTGGGTGAAATAAGAGCGCAGAGACAAGGCAGTGTGAAGCCACGTGGAGCCTTCAGGAAAGTGGTGGTGTTCATGGCTAACTGGGGGGCAGGGGGCACATGCCGACAGTGGTGCCCGCCTCCTGGGACCTGGGGGGCTCCTGATAGGATGTGTGCGTTTCCTAGCTCATTGCAGTTCAAGCCTATTGCTTTCCTCTCCTCCCTTGATCTTTGGTGAGCAGGGAAGCGGAAAAAATACGGAATTTCTCTTCCTGGCAAGTTATGCGCAAAGGAAACCAATTTAGGTCGAAGAACCAAGGTTTTGCTAAGTTAACCATTAACCCCGTCTCTCTATTCTAAGCACGTTAGGTGTTAGATGGTACATGGGATTCTGACTTTGGCTTGGCAGGGACACTGTTCAACATAATTATCCTCCACGGCGTTGGGTTTAACACACAGGGAACTAATTGTATTTCTTCACCTCCCCACATCCCGCGTCCGCCCCTCCCATAATGGAGTGAACTAATCAATTCACTTCATCTTTCGTAAATAGCATGTCTTTCCTTGTTATTGGAAACTGGCCGTAATTCAATCTAACTCAGAAATATTTACCGAACACTCATTATGTGCTGGGAGGGAGGGAATTGTGTCCGGCACCGTGTGTCGGGGGATCTGCTTTGGATCATTCCTTTAGCTGATGAGTGTTTGTCCAACGCTGACGGCACTAACACTGCACTTGCTGCCAGGGTGCAGGAGAGAAGCAAACATGGCCTTCGACCTCAGGGAGCTTAGAGTCTAGTGGAGGAATGATGGCTTTAATCAAATATGTGTCCGATAATACAGAATGATGTCTTTGGGAGGAATGTCCCGTGGTGCTGGGGGACTGTGTAACAGGGGAGCAGGCGTAGGCTGGACAGTGAGGGCAGCCCTCTCCGGACACACAAGTCTGCAGAGGGAGCAGAGTTCACAAGTGCAGGACCCAGAGAGGAGCATTAAAGGTATGGGGAACGGCTGTTCAAAGCACAGAGAGAAAGCTAGTGTGTCTGAAGCTCAGAGGGTGTGGGGAGCGTGCTGGGAGGTGAGGCAGGAGAGGAGGGAGGGGCCCAGGTGTGTAGGGCCTCGTGGCCACGGGAGGAAACTGCTCTCTTCCCCAAAAGCAATGGAGGGGGCGCTGGAGGGGTGTAAGCAAAGGATAAACAAGGCCCCCTTCCTGAGAGAGGATGTTGGAAGACCACTGTGGTTGTCCAGGCAACAGATGACGTGGGTTAGACTGAAGGTGGCCACAGGAAGGACATGGGAGAGACAGTGAAGAGGTGAAAGGACCCGACCTAGTGGAGGAGGAGATGTGGGGCTGGGAGAGAGAGGAGTCAAGGGTGAGTCCCAGGCTTTGAGGTCGGATGTATGTTGAACCACTCATCTGTTTTGGACCTACTGAGTTCAAGATGGATCTGAAGCCTCCAGGAGTGGCTATGAGGTAGGCATCAATCCATACACAGAGCCCTGGGGCCAGAGAAGAGATATGTTGAAAAGTCATTGGTCTGAAGCTTTTGGGGCCAGTTAGAAGAGGAAGGTCGTAGGATGGGTGGTTGACAGGGTCCACTATTCAGTGGCTGGGAGCATGAACCTGAGTGTGCAAAAGGGCTGATGTATGAAGGGGAAAGCTGAGAGGGTGCACTTTCATAGAAGCCAAACAGATGTTTCAGAAAAGAGAGTGTGGCCAAGCAGAAGGGGGACAGAAAGGTGTCCATTGGCTCAAGTGGCATGGTCCTACATTGTTGTCCTGTTTTGCTGTGGGGATGGAGTGGAGGCCATATTGGAATAAGGCAACAGAAGGAACAAGAATGGGGAGTCCCATCAAGGAGCATCAGGAAGGGGAGGCATGAGGCAGGGTAGTACCAGGAGGGGGGTGTGAGGCCATCATCCTTGATCTCCGGGCTCCAGATTCCAGGAGTCAGACAGACGTCCAAGCAGGAAAGGACCATGATGTGGTCATGACGCTGAGGGGTTCCGAGGTTCCATAAAGGAGGCAGGAAGGATTAACTCCTTGGACATTGAGACAGGTGAGCGGATGTCTGAGCGTGTAAGGTAAGAGTGCTTGGTGGACAGGACAGGGACCAGAAGTAGGGAAAGGTAATCCTACAGAGGGAACACAGCAAGTACAAGAATCTGAGAATCCAAGTGTCCCAAGTTTTTCTCTGCCATCCCTTCCCCTGGGCCGGGAAGATGTTTCTCTTCCTATATAGCTATTGGTGAAGTGTTAACTGCCAAATATATGGGGGGTTTTGGGGTGGAGGAAGAGGGAAGAATAGAATATGCCAAGAAGTATCCATTTGGTGTTGGAGTGCCACCATGGCAAACATAATGCAGTAAGCCGAAGCCATTTGGAATAAATGGATGAGTATGCCGGTAAGAACTTTCAAGGACCAATACGAGGTTTGGCAAATCTGACTTGGTTCTTGTTTTCTCTTCTTTCTTTTACAGTCAACTTTGACCATTTTCAGATTCTGCGGGCCATTGGTAAAGGGAGTTTTGGAAAGGTAAGAATGCTGGATTTTTACAAAAACGTCAATCATCAAATATAAAAGCCCCGCCCACCGGGCTTATGCAGATGTGCACGTTTGTGGGTTTGTTGTTGCGCTGGTTGCTGGGCACTGGGAATTTCCTGTTTGACAGAAAGATTCGAATTTGCCAAATGTGAAATGTGAGAGGAAGTCTGAATAGTTTCCTTTGGATACGCTGTAATTTCATTCTGAAAATTAAATTACCACGGCAGCCCTGCTTTAGGTGAATTACAATGGTAATTATTTCAAGATTGCTAATGCTGTTTCTTCCTTCAGCATCTAAATACAGAAAGTGGGAAAAAATCCCATGAATTTATGTGATGGCCAACAGCAGCTCTTTCCTGCAATGTAGGCATTTTATTTTTAAAAAAATGATCGTGGAAGGAATACTTAACACACTGTCTACTTGTTTAAATTTTTAATTGATACGTATTATTATTGACTATAGATCGATACAACTTTGTACAGCAGATCTTTAGAGCTTAGACATCTTGCTTGACTGAAATGATACCCATTAGTTAGCAGCTCCCCAGTTCCCCCCCACCCTTAGTCCTTTGGCAACCACCATTCTACTCTTTGGTTCTATGAATTTGACTATTTCAGATAACCTCATATATGTGGAATCATGCAGTATTTATCTTTTTGTGACTGGCTTATTTCACTTAGCATCATGTCCTCAAGATTTATCTATGTTGTGGCATATGGCAGAATTTCTTTTTTAAGGCTGTCTAGTATTCCACTGTACCTGTAGACCACATTTTCTTGATCCATTCATCTGCCAGTGGACACGTAGGTTGTTACCACATCTTGGCTGTTGTGAATAGTGCTGCAGCAAACATAGGAGTGCTAATATCTCTTAGAGACCTTGAATCCAATTCTTTTGGAGAATGAACCCAGAAATGGGATTGCTGGATCATATCACATGGTGGTTCTATTTGTAAGTTTATGAGGACTCTCCATACTGTTTCCCACAGTGGCTGCACCAGTTTATATTCCCACTAACAGTGTGCAAGGCCTCCAAATTCTCCACAGCCTTGCCAACATTTGTTGTCTTTTGTTTTTTTGATAGTGGTCATCCTGACAGATATGAGGTGGTATTTTGCTGTGACTTTGATTTGATGAGTAGTGATGTTGAGCACATTTTCATATACCTGTTAGCCATTTGTACATCTTCTTTGGAGAAATGTCTATTTAAGTGCTTAGCCATTTAAAAATCGGGCTATTTAGGGGTTTTGTTTGTTTGTTTTTGTGCTGTTGAATGTAGGAGTTCCTTACGTATTTTGGAAATTAACTTTTTGTCAGATATGTGGTTTACAAATATTTTCTCCCACTCCACAGGTAGCCCTTGCATTCTGTTGATTATTTGCTGTGCAGAAGCTTTTTAGTTTGAGGTAGCCTCACTTACTTATTTTTGTTCCCTGGGCTTTTGGTGTCATATCTTTGAAATCATTGCAAAGACCAATGTCATGAAGCTTTTTCTTTATTTTTCTTCTAAGCAGTTTACAGTAAATTTCAGGTCTTAATATTTAGGTCTTTAATCCATTTTGAGTAGATTTTTTTGTGTGTGGTGTGAAATAAGGATCCATTTCATTCTGTTGCATGTTGATATCCAATTTTCCTACAACAGTTGTTGAAAAGATTACCCTTTCCCCATTGTTTATTTTGTCATTCTGGTCAAAGATCAACTGAGCATATGTGCATGGATTTATTTCTGGGCTTTCTATTCTGGGCTTTCCATTGGTCTATTTATCAGTCTTTATGCCTGGACCACACTGTTCCGATTACTTTAACTTTGTAATATAATTTGAAGTAAGGAAGTGTGATGCCACCAGTTTCATTCTTCTTGCACAAGATCACTTAGACTATTTGTGGTCTTTTGTGGTTCCATGTGAATTAGCATTATTTTTTCTATTTCTTTTTTAAAAAGAATTTGAATTTTTTTAGAGATTACATAGAATCTGTAGGTCAGTTTGGGTAGTGTGGACATTTAGACAATATTAAGTCTTCCAACCCATGAAACAGCTGCCTTTCCGTTTGTGTCTTGTTTAATTTTTCATCAATGTTTTGTATACAGGTCTCAATATACAAGTCTTTCACTTCCTTAGTTAAGTTTATTTCTAAGTGTTTTATTCTTTTTGGTGCATTATAAATGAGATTTCTCTAATTTCCTTTTCAGATAATTCATTCTTAGTATATAGAAACACAACTGATTTTTGTATGTTGTATGTTGATTTTGTACCCTGTGACTTTACTGAATTAATTTATATATATGTGTGTGTGTGTGTGTGTGTGTGTGTGTATATATATATATATATATATATGTATAATTAAATTATAGTCAGTTTACAATGTTGTGTCAATTTCTGGTGTACAACACTTCAGTCATATTCAATTGATTTATTAGTTCTAATTTTTTGTGGTACCTTGAAGGTTTTCTATATACAAGATCATGTCATTTGCAACAGAGGCAATTTTACTTCTTCCTCCCTGATTTGGATGCCTTTTATTTCTTTTTCTTAGCTAATTACTCTAGTTAGTATTTACAGTCTGTGATGAATAGAAGTGGTCAGAATGGGCATTCTTGCTTTGTTCCTGATCTTAGAGAAAAATCTTTTAATTTGTCACCACTGAATATAATGTTAGCTGTGGGCTTTTCATATATGGCCTATATTGTGTTGAGTTAATTTCCTTCTATTCTTGGCTTGCTGAGGGCTTTTTTTTAAATAATGAAAGGGTGTTGAATTTTGTCCAATGCTTTTTCTGCTTCTATTGAGACAATCATATGATTTTTATCCTTTATTCTGTTAATTTGGTATGTCATATTAATTGATTGTCGTGTGTTAAACCATCCTTACATTCCAGGGAAAAATCCCACTTACTTATGGCTTATGATCCCTTAAATGTGTTATTGGATTCAATTTGGTAGTATTTTTTTGAAGATTTTGCATCCATAATCAAGGGATATTGGCTTGTAGTTTTTGTTTTTTCCCCTTGTGGTGTCTTTGTCTGGCTTTGGTATCAGGTTAATGCAGGGCCCATAAAACGAATGGAAATACTTCCTCCTCTTCAAAAAGACTTTGAGAAAATTGTCGTTAATTCTTTCTTACATGTTTGGTAAAATTATACAGTGAAGCCAGCTCTATTGGACTTCACTTTGTTGGAAGTTTTGACATTTGATTTTGGTAAGTGAATCTTCATGATCTTTGATTGTTTTCAGTTAAAGGCGATAGAAAAAAATGAGGAGGTGGCAGGGACTGTTAGAAGGAGAAAAGGGTTTTCCCCAGTGAAGCCCCAGTCTGCTCCTCCTTACTCAGAAAGCGATGACAAATGGCTAAGTATGTACATGCCTTCATTTTCAGTCTGTGTGTATTCTTACATCTGAAATGAGTCTGTAGGAGGCAGCATAGAGATGGGTCTTGGTTTTTTTATCCACATTTCAGCACCTTGAATATACCATGCCACTCCCTTCTGGCTTTCAGAGTTTCTGCTAAAAAATCTGCTGATAGTTTCGTGAGGGTTCCTGTGTACGGAACAAGTTGTTTTCCCCTTGTTGCCTTTATGACTTTGTCTTTAGCTTTTGACATTTTAATTATAATGTGTCTTGGTGTGGGTCTGTTTGGGTTAACATTGTTTAAAACTCTCTGGGCTTCCTGAATGTGCTCTGTTTCCTTCTCCAGGTTAGGGAAATTTTCAGCCATTATTCCTTCAAATAAGTCATCTACCCATTTCTCTCTCTACTCTCCCTGGGAACTCTATGTCATTCCACTGGATATTGTCTCATAGGTTCCTTAAGCTATCTTCACTGTTTGAAATTCTTTTTTTCTTTTTGCTGCTCTGTTTGACTGAGTTCCAGTGACCTGTCTTCTGGATCTGTTCAGCTAGTTTTCAGGCCCTTTTCATAGGGAATGTCTCCACATGTAGCTGTACATTTGCTGTGTCCACAGAAGGAGGTGAGTTCAGGATCTCCCCAAGCTGCCATCTTGAACTGCCATCTTGATCTCTGTCTTTCCTGATTTTAACAATCTAGTTTTTTTTATACATTTCTGAGACAGTTGTGTAAAAGCTCCAACTCTGATTGTGCAGTTGTTTCTTCTTCCTTTAATTCTGTCAATTTCGCTTCTTATACTTTGAAGGTCTGTTGTCAAGTGCGTACGGATCTGTGGTCATTATGGCCTCGTGATGAATTGACCTTATTGTGAAATGTTCTTTTCTATCTCTGGTAATAATCTCTTTCTGAAGCTTATTTCCTCTGAGATTAATATAGCCATTCCAAACTACATGGCATATATTTTCCACGCATTTTCTTTCGTCCTATCTGTGCTTTTATGATTGACATAAATCTCTTGAGAAGAGCACACAATTAGGTCTTGCTTCTCTTTAAATCTATCTGGCAATCTCTACCTTTTATTCCGTTCATAGTCAATGTAATTACTGATATGGCTTCATTTAGGTCTAGCATGGTTTTATTTGTTCTCTCTTTTGTTTTTCTATTTCTCTTTTCCTATTTTGTTTTAGATAATTGAATATTTAGAATCCTCATTTAATTTATCAGTGACTTGATAGCTACACTTCCTTATATTATGTTTTTAAATTGTTGCTTTAGGGATTATGATAAACATCCTCAATTTATTTCACAGTCTGCTTAGAGTTATTATTTTGTACTTCATATAGAATGTAAAAACCTGGGCAATTGTATAGGCCTGTTTACCACCCCTGTCAGCCGTTGTACTATAGTTGTCATGTGTATTACAGCTTCTTAAATCATCAATCTCCACTACAGTATTATAGTTTTTTGCTTTAAATATATATAAACACATACATGTATAATATATACATAAAATGTTAAATATTTAAAATAAAATAATATAAATGATAATATAAAATATTTTATATATGTATTGTATGTATGTATAATTTATATGTAGTTTAAAATATGTGTAGTTTTTTGGCTTTTAAAAAAATTAGGAGGAAAATAG